TCTGTCAAAATGAAGGTCGAAACAAGGTCGGGTTACTCTGGAGGCTCCCTCCATCCGCAAAAAAACCACTAAACCTAACACACAACGTCAAACGCGGGGATTCTAGCGGCTTTTGCGGATAATGACAGACAGAACAACTTTTTGAAAGTGAGCAATTGATGATGATGGTGATGACGATGATGTTGTTGCTGTTGTTCTTGTTGTAGTTTGCAGTTGTCGTTGCTGTCAACACACCTGTAGCTGCCTCAGTTTGCACCGCAGCCGTAGGCATGTTGTTGTGGGTCCTTATCACCCTGTGTTCAGTCTGCGGAGCTCTTTCGTGCTGAGTCTGAAGGAGGTTTGGAGTTTCCTTGTTGCGTTTGCTTCCCCTGGCCCGAGGACACACACGTGTGCTGTCCTCGTCCCTGAGCCAGTCTCTGAAAGGCAGTACTTCGCGCCTCCGTCGATCCCGATGTTGCTGTCGCGCGCGCGGCGGCAGCAGCTGCCGGCAGCTGTGCGGCGCAGGATGCATGCATCTTATCGGCCGCTGCCGTTCATGTGGCACATGTGGTGGCCTCGTCGAACGACTTTTGGCAGGACGTCCCGTCTGGGCAGTGGGTCGAGCTGCTGCCCACGTTGGAGAGGCGGAGACCCTTGGCCGTGCTCTCCAGGTTGAGGGGACAACTACTTTTCGCGCCCACTGTTTGGCCTCTGCGGAGTGTGTCAAGAGTTGGGGATCCCGATAGGCCTATCTTGAGAGTCGTCCTTTGCAGCCGACACCATTGCAGCAACCCTTCAGTAGACACTTGGGTGGGGAGCACGGGAAGCGCAACATTGCAGAATTGTGTGGATATGTGCGAATGCCGACTCACCTTATCTGCGTGTGTGGAGCTCCGTTCGTACCTTGTGCGCTCGCGAATCGTCAATGTCATGACTGTCGTTGCTGCCTCAGGTGGAGTGCAGAGGAAGGCCAGACTCAGATCGCGGCGCTGCGTATCATGGGCTTCTGGGCGGAGGAGTGGTGGCAGTCCTTCGTTTGTGAGCAGGGCGGTCAGGAGATCCGGACCACGGTGTTAAGGATGTTGAAGGCTTCCCTTCGGTTGCTCACTTGCTTACCGATCGGTGGCATCAGAGAGAATCAGTTGGTGGCAGCAGAGACCGTGTTTCAATTGCTGGGGTGTGCGCGGGATGTCCTTCGGCCAGATGACGCGCTTAGCCGAGAACTGCTGGATGCATTGGTGTTGGCCTGCCGGACGGCGCTGTTACAATGCCATCAGCGAGGGCAGTCACCGTCCCAGCTCACGGAGCTCGATCACCTGCTTGCCAGTGCCACTTTGCGTTGCCTTGGCCGCTTGGCCACGGAATCTGTCACTGTGCTTTCGCCGAATCTGTGCCGTGTGGCCCCCACAGTGCTGCAGTCAATGCAGGGGACACCATCAGCCGTTTCAGTAATTGCCGTGGAGTTCTGGAGCAGCCTTGCGCTTCATGACATCGCCGCGGCCTCATGTGGAACCTACGCTGGGGAGGGACTTGTTGCAGACTTCCTGCCGCAGCTGGTGCCTCTTCTGCTATCAATGCTTGCAGCATCAGATGCTGGGCGTTGGAATGATCAGCAGCTGGTTGAGGCTGCCTCAGTGTCTTTGCAGCTATTAGTCAAAGCCGACAAGGACGAGTTTTGCATCCGCCAGATTTTTCAGTTCTTGTCCCGGCACCATGCATCCAGCCAGATTGGAGGGCCAGGGTTTGGAGACTTGCTCGCGCTGGATGCACTGCTGGAGGCCAGGGAAAGGGAGGCAGCCGAAGCGGTAGGTCTCTTTTGCCCACTGGTGTCGGCTGCTATGGTTCATGGCAACCCCTCTTGGCGGACTCAGGCAGCAAAGACGGCCACGAGGGCCTTACAGATGCAGAAGGAGTGCATTCCGCACGCGGTTAAGGAGAGCTGGCTCCAGACCAGCCTTGTGGCGATCCGTGACGAATCCATGTCCTTCGACTTCGGGCAGGTGCTGCAAGAGCTGATGTCCCAGGCCTGTGCCTCCCCAAAGACTTTCGAGATCCTGGCGGGCCAGCTGCTCGCAGCTTTTGAGGACGTTCCTCCAAACTCGCCGGCAGGACCTGCACTCCTCAGAGCCCTCGCTGGCCTCATTGAAAGCTCCAGCTGCGAGCCTTTCCTCGGAGCATTGCTCTTGAAGTTCCTGGATGCCTTAGAGAAGTGCAGGCATATGAATGGGGCCGGCGGCTGCCTGAAGGCCTTGACGCTTCGTCTCGGCTCCGGGGTCCTCGAATTTGCGGACCGCCTCCTCCAGTTCTGTGCAAGTAGCTCTGCTAAACCCGGCACGGCACGGAAAGCAACTAACTAAGCTGCTGTTTTCGCGTGGCAAGGCCGCATGCTCGACAGCACTCTCCAAGAAGAAGGCTTACTGGCCACCGTGGCTTTGGTGAAGGCACTCGGCGAGAGCTGCGGCCTCAGTGGAAGCACAGTGCGACATCTGCCCTCAACAGAGAAGTCCCTCTCTGTGTGTGTGTGAGAGATATGGCTGTGGCACCATCATGCATAATTTAAGGAATGCATAAAGTACGAAGGACACCCCCAACTGGCCCTATACAACCCGCAATACAAGTCCTTTCAGGGCATGTCGTGGACAGTGCAGCCTGCAAGTTGTTTCGCCGCTTAAAGTGTGCACTATGTGTTTTCAGGATCCTGCAAGTTCCGTAAAATTTGCCGAAGGTCACCCCTCTGATTTGGCATCGCTGTGGCCTGCCATTGCCCGAGTCCTGGCCGAGCGAGACCAGCCGGAGGCCGGCAGACATCATCGGAATTCTTGCGAAGGATATGCTCAGGAATGGCAGAAAGGAGGATGGCATGGCAACGTGACACCACAGACAGACATACAGACATACATGGCATACAGAGGTGCCTTGAGCCCTGATCTCCATACAGACACACATGCACACATGCACACAAGCACACATACATGCACACATACAAATGCATCAACATATGCAGATACGATCAACACATGTACGGTGAACAGTGTATTGCATTCTTCAGCTACATCTTCAAAATAGCCCTGACGGCTATTAGCAAGACGCCCCAAGCCCTGCAGGCTTTGAAACTTGCCATCGAAATCCTCCAGGCAGCAGCGGAGAGCCTTCGACAGCATATCGGTGTGAGCTGTCTCCTTGCTGCCCTGCGTCATCGGCTTGATGTTGGCGGGTCTGGCGGCAAGTGCCCAGGTCAGAAGATTCTAGGTAGACGGCCCATGGTTGATTCCAAACTCAGAGGCTGGTAGGGCGCTGGGCCATTGGAACATTGCCGTCTAAAGTCTAAGCTGCAGGATTATGGAAGCTTGGAGAACTGTCAATCCTAACAAGCGAGGACGCTGGAGCCCCGCCACCTTCTCCCGCTGGCGGCGCAGGCGGTTCCCGGCCTCCTTGCTTTGCTGGAGGATTCGAGCTCCTGTTCCGCATGAAGGCCGCTTCAAGCGTACCGAGACAGCAAAAAATCAACGAACAAATCGAGCTATTTAACTCAAAGTCCGCACCCGGCTGGCCCGAGAAGCTGAAACATCGCATGGCACCCCGCACCCTTGTACCTGTATGGGCTGCAGCATTGGAGATTGTTCTCGTACTGCGATGTTGTGGTGCATGCTTCGCTTGACCGAGATGACAAGGTCAGCAGGCGGCAGCGGCGGAATGCCTCAGCACGTTGGCTGCTGCGCTCGGGGCAGATGCGCCGCATCTTGAGGTGCTCTGAATCATGACGCCCTTCGTCTACCCCTCCAGAAATTATCACATGCTTGGATGTGTTTGGTCGCAAGATTCCTGGCAGGCAACGGTCGCAGGCTTCTGCAGGCGGAGCGTGGATGGAATGGATCTAGTGAGCACGCGACTAGAAGCAAACATGATAAATGCTACTCGCATCCAGGATTTTCAGGACGGGTTCTGATCAAGGGGTGGCGATAAGGACATGGAATGAGATGGCCCCAAGATTGCTTGCAGAAGTTAACAGTCCGTGTGTTCAAGAAGCGTGTGCGCGAGTCTTCAACTCCGACCGATGTTGGATCCTTACAGCCTGTCGCGGTTTTTTATGCTGAAAGGCTGGGCCAGTCTACACCTGTTGCAGCTATGCCTGCGAAGACATCTGGCTGCAGAGACAGAGGGTCTTACCTTCCATTTCGGCAAATCTGTTCATTGATCACCGAAAAGAGAAATCTGGTTTCCGAGCAGCTTTGCTAATGCCAGACACTTTCGTTATCTGTGGAACATCGTGAGAAGTCACGTCTGCCACTGAGAACATAGGGAATAGTTAAGTTGAAGCCAGGGAACCTGGTCGCTGAATGCCCATAGTCACCAGGATGATGACGATTGCCAGGATGATGGTGATGGTGATGGTGATGGCGCTGATGACGATGATGATGCCGATCATGCTGATGCCGATGGTTATCGATGACACTCATGCGATCTGCGTGATGCCGGAGATGATGAAGTGCAGGTTAAGTTACGAAAATCCAAGTCAAGCAGCATCCCCGAATGGCTGGATGCAACGGCAGAGGGAGAACAGTACCACAATGGGGGACACCAGCTCCATGTTGCTCGTGATCTTTGGTATACAGTGCTAGAGCAGGTTCAGCTGTTGGCATCTAGGGCAACATGTCTGGAGCAGAACGCCCGTAACAACGACGCGATAGGTGCCAAAAAGGTTTGTGAAACACAACCTCATTGCAGGATTATTAAGGACTGGTGCTTAAGAAGAGGCCGCGAAGGGGTGGGGTTCGGGGAGTTTCACGCCGACTTAACCAGACTCGGACTTCAGTGTAGCGCTGCGGTGCAGGGGGGGTGGGGGCTTGTCTCTCACTTCCTCCAAAAGCTTAGCAAGCGAGCGAGAGAGAGAGAGAGAGAGAGAGAGAGAAAAAGAGTGAGAGAGAGAGAGAGAAGAAAGAGGTAACTTCTTCACTTGTTTACCGAAGACCGAGCATCGATGTCTTTTTACCGACACCCCCACAAGGCCCTTAAACAGGGGCGCGCCATCCGGCGCGGGGAGCCTCACCTGCTCCCTGTACCCCGGAGAAGAAGAAGAAGAAAGAGAGGGAAAGAAAGAGAGATCCCCGAATGTCGCCGTCAAATCCACGAAAAGCACCCCACCGCATCTTTCAAAGGCCTGCAATAATCATGCTTCTGGGGCGCTGGTTGACGCATCAGGCTGATCTGTTCCGTACGAGCTGAGACGTTGCAAGCCAGCTTTCTGTGATCCAGCCCCAAGCGATCTTCATGAGTCTTTCAACATGTCCGCAAACCACCCGAAACACACGGTGCCGTCCTTGAGAAAGAGGAGCAAACCTTCCATTTTCGCTTGCTCAGTTTGCTGTTCTTGTTCCACAGCCAAGGCCCCGCCTGGAGGCCCAAGGATCATGGAAGCCGAGCTCCGTTATCCAGCGCATGGAGGACTTCTTTATTTCCAGACTTACTGTAGGGCTGATGCACCATGCCTGTCTGGACTTTGGTGCGAGATGCCCGGACTCTAGTACGATGTACAGGACTCCCATCCGAACCCTTTGCGCAGTGCTCAACCTTCCAGCTTGCCTTGTTCTGATACGCACTGCATCCTGCTCGCCATCGATGCCCAAGCTCTATAGAACTTGCCAGGACTGGCGACTCCGCGCACTTGCCCTTCATGCAGCCCTGCTCCAGGGGCTTGCCAAGATCTTGGAAGTGTTCTCGCGGCAAGGCTGGTGGGTTTTTCAGCAGCTGTCCTTCCGTGGAAGGCTGTGCGCACTGCCAGGCATAGTCCATGAACAGATATGGCCTTGTTCATGTGGGAAGTCGCCGCAAAAACGGCATATCAGCAACACCTGCGCGCAGGCGTGCTTCATGCTGTTGAGACGCAGCTGCCTGCGGTTCTCAACTACCTCGCAGCATGGCTCGACTTGCTCAGCTGTCTCCCTTGAAGTTTGATGTTTTCTTGTGTCCAGCACGGTTAACTGGGAGCTGTTGTTTTTGTACCGTTATATCATACGGACGAAGTCTAAGAAGCCAAAGAACCCGGAGCCTGCTGCTGTCATGAAGCACCTCAGCCTAAGCCCATTCTCAGAACTTCAGTCGCTCAGGCCCTTCGGATCCGCTTTATACCCAGGGGGCGAGGGCCTGCTGCCACGCGAATCTTGGAGACATGCTGCCACTGCATCGCAGATATTCTTTCATCCTATCCTGATGCTGCTACCCACTTCGCCCGGGTGGCCGATCCACAAAGCTTGAAGCATTTCTTGGCCATCGCGGCAGCATCGGCAGATGAGAGATCGAGGAGCCTGGTACATGTCATGCCCCTGCGAGCTTGATTGAGATGGCTACGAAGAACAGCACAACGTCCCAGAATAGGAGGAGTGCTAGATACTGGAATTTGACCATTGGGGCGTTGTCATTGGGTTGCTCGACGTCCTCCCCACCTACTCTCCAAAATAGGAGACACATCCCGGCTGGCATGGCATGGCTTGGCTCAAGTTGATGCGCCTGGAGCTTGCAAGATCGAAATGATTCTTGCAGATGGTCAGCTGGTCGGCGGAAACTGAACAGCCCTGCTCAACACACCCCACCGACAAATGCCTGAAGCATGGCAGAGGTGTCACGAATTGTTGATACCTCCAGCAACATGGACAGTATGGAGTTTTGCACGAAAGAGTTCCCGGAGTCTTCCCAGAACCTCTGAGACTGAGATGTTTCGAAGTAGATGCAGCGAAAGCAGCCTCGAAGAGGCGGTGCTTGAGAAGAAGAGCTTGTCGCACAGTGAAGAACCGTCTGAGTTTGAGTGCTAGTGGCTTTGTGTAGCACCGGGCGAGCGGGGTGCACACAACCTCAACATTGGCTTCATCAGGTTTGTCATGAACGGCGGGCTGATTGTGGGCACAATGGATGGAGCGAACATTGAGATACGAGAAGAGTGTGGCAACCTGGCCTCAGAGAAAGTTCGGTGGTGCAGGCAGGTCAAGTGATGCAGTGGTCAATGGCAACTGGCTATGTCTATGTCAGTTCAACTCCGCCAGACCTGCTGAAAGCTCGCATGACAAGCGTTGTGGCCGCTCTGACCAGATAGCACCTGAGGAGAGGACACGATGTTCATTTTCGGCTGTCTGGAGCATGAAGCCTCTTGGACAGCTACTGGCTGGTGGTCGTCGTCGAGCGGTAGAGTTGGAGGAGGAGTAGTAGTAGTAGTAGTAGTGGTGTAGTAGTAGTAGTAGTAGTAGTAGTAGTAGTAGTAGTAGACGTAGCAGTAGTAGTAGTAGTAGTAGTAGCAGTAGTAGCAGTAGTAGCAGC